GATATAGATTTACATTAATACATGTCCAAATTCTTCAAAATTATTTATTAAGTACTAAAATGGGTTGTGTAACTCCTATAAGAATCTTAATTAATAACGCCAGAAAAAATTCTAAGACCCAATTAATTAAATCAGCCATATATTTGTGTCGAAAATCTGTCTCCAATTAAATAAATTATTGCACTGGTTATTACCCCTAAACTGACACTTCAACAATTATACTGCATCTATTCACAAACTGCATATTCTTTAGAAGATATGACGCCAAACCAAAATAGTCAAGTACATGAAGAGAATACAAGTCTCAGATCAACCATGCTTTAACAGTTTACTCATCGTTATTTGCTAACTCCCTAAGCAACTTAGTGTACATGAATTCTATACTTTCCCCAGATCTGTGCATAAAATGGATTAACTTCACAACAGAAAATAAAGGCTATTCTGAATTGTCTGTTGCTTTATTATTGTAAACATTCTCTAAAGCTAAATGTTTGCTGGCAAATCCAGGAAGAACCCTTACTAAGCAAGCTGTTCTGTCAAACAGGTTCTTAGAAAACAACCACCCATTTGGAAGCATCAGTTTTATATAAACGTTACATTATATGGCTGAATCTCTTACTGGCCATTCTTAAAATGCAATACTTTCAAGGAAGCTGTATCCCTCTTCCTATGATTTACATTGTCCTATTCTTAATGATATGGCATTAAATTGGTTTTCTTAGCATTTCGGAAAACAGTCAATTAAAAGCTGTTCTGAGTGCACCAAATTCACCAACTGCACTTACATAAACTCCTCCACTCTCAACAGATGGAAGATCTAGCCATATGTGAACAACTTACAGTTCAGTTTAGCTTAACGCAAAGCATACCTCATGCCCCTCAGTGGACTACTAAACAAACCTTTAAAAACACACAAACACAAACAATTTGGGCAGATTTTAATATCTCGTTATGGTAAACAAAAATCATATCCTGAACCAATCAGAGCATAAATCATAGTATTTTTTATCAATAGGATCACTTATAAAAATGTGTATATTTCAAATCTTTATAGTTAAAGCCAGTTTAAATATCAGTATTAAAAACAAAAATAAACCACAGGGAGCAGGCATCTCCTGCTTAATGCAACAAGGTTTTTTGAAAGTGAAGCAAAGTAGCCCTATCTTAATAGTCCTAATCAAAACATCACCCTCCCAGAAACAGAATGCACTTGCCCATTAATTCCCCTGGAAAGAAGTCACCCCTAATTTCACCAACCTCCCAGATCCCGAAAGCGTCAAGCCGTGGGAGCCCGGAGGGGGGGGGGAGGCACTCATGTTGCTTGTCGCCTTCAGCATACCACTAGGTTGGTGAGTGACGCTGTGCCCAGCCAGAGAGGGGGGTTGTCAGGTGGCTGCTCTCTTGCGAGAGGGTCCCCAAACAGCCGGGCACAGCTTCAAGGGCAAACCGCATGACCATGCTCACAAGCAGCCACCCAGCAACCTCCCTTTCCAGCTGGGCACAGTGCTATTCACTGACCTAGGGGGTATCCTGAAGGTGCCAAGCCATGTGGTGCTCTGCCCACCCCCCAGCTCCTGCCGCTTGGCACCTTCGGAATATCCCTAGATTGGTGAATGGCGCTCTGCCCGGCTGGAGAGGGGGGCTGCGCGAGTGCCTGTTCTGCCCCCAGATCACGTGTCTCCCAGCCTCACTATGCCCTGGCCCAGCTCTCCCTGCAGGACCAGGGCACCACCGCTCCCCCAGCATGGCTCCTCTGGCTTCCAAAGTCCGGAGATCGGCTGCCAAGTCTTCCGGAAGTGGCCGCTCTGGTAGTACACTCTATGGTTGTGGGCCAGCTGCTCATGAGCATGGTCACCTCATGGCTGCTGTGTTGCGCTGCTGCGACACAGCCATTCGCCCTGAGGCTGTGCCCGGCTCTTTGGGAGCCCACCTGCAAGAAAGCAGCCACCCGGAAACCCCAAAACAATAAGCCTCCCCACCAATAATAAAGCCCAAGCCATATTTTGGGGGTCAAAAGAAAATAAGACCCTGTCTTATTTTCAGGGAAAGACTGTATATTTTTTTCATTACTACGAAGAAAGGGTCAGGCAGATTGTCAAAACTTGACAGAGCTCAATTCATCTGCCTGCCAAAACAACTGCAATAGAGGTTCATCTCCAAGACAAAAATTTCATTATAATGAGAGAACATGGTAAAGGTCTGGGGTTCCTTGGCATCTCTCAGACTGCTGTTGAATGAGAAATGTAAATGAGTAATAAGAGAATTAAACATTGTTGTCTTCTGTGGACAATAAATGTGAATAGACTGAAAATGCCAGAAAATTACAATGGAACAAACAAAATAAAAAGAACAAGAAATCTTTGGGTAATTTTATCAAGTAGCTGTGCAATCAAAATAAATATTGCCAATTTTTAAAGAATTCACTAAGATGAAGATAGAACAGAACATCCATTTGCTATAATTGCTGAGGAGACTACATAAACTAGATATAGAGAACTATTAATAGCCCTCAAATTATAAGGGTTATTAAAAATGGAAGTTTGACAGTAATACAGAGGATACAATACAGTAGAAAATCATCTCTCTTAAAAGCTGCAACTATGTGCTGTGAGTCACAAGGGAGTTTGCTTAACAGTCCCTGTGAGGAGCAAAAATAAAGCAAGTAATAGACAAAATGGATGCATTTGCAGACACAATAATGAATGTGGCTTTTCACCCATAGAAACTTGGTGATTATGTGCATTAGGTTTTATGGACATAGAGTTAGCCTATTACATATGTAATATACATATGTACATATGTTCAGAATTCTGTGCTTACTCTTGAATAAATATAGAGGAAATGTTTTCATTTTCCACATTTCTATTGCAGTGTCTGTTATAATATGCAAAGAAATAAGTTCAAAAGGAACACTTACTGAACATAAACGGGCACAATAATAAATAAGAATAAGAATTCTTATTATAAGAATTATAAGGAGTTCTGTCCTGAAGCAGTCAACAAGTACAGAACCCTTTCAGATGCCCAAATATGCAAATAAGAAAGAGTAAAGGTGCAAAATTAGTATGCCTATTCCTTGGCTCTAATTGTTTAGGCAAATACCTGAAGAAATCGCTCAGAAGACCAATACCCATATTAATACAATTTCAAGAGCTATTATTCATTGGGTCAAATAAAGCCATTGCTTGCATATATGTCAGGATATGGGTGAATGAATTTTTCCACTGAATGGACATTTAGACCCCCTCATAAAAATGTCCTCACATCTGCCTGTACTTTTTTTCTCTGTCAAACATCTTGAACAGCTTTGTGTTAAGAGGAAGCCCTCTGCCTCAAGTTAGTCAATCATTGGTAATCTTTGAAGTTAAGCCTCTAAAACTATATCAACACTCCAATGTAAGAAATCGTGTTTAAAAGAATGTGCTTGAAAAGTTCCTGAACTTTTCATTCTGCACTATTATAGTCAGAGAAAATTTGGTTACTATATTTTATTACAAATTATGTTACTCTTATATTAGCCACAGAGGAAGTATGGTCTTTTCTACTAATTTAGAAAATTAGTAGAATTTTCTACATTTTTCAACAAAAAACACCATGTACATATAGCACATCAAATGGATCAGATTCAAAACACTCTGCCTCTTCCTCATCCTCTTTCCTTGACTGAACTTTGAGAAATCTCCAAAGCCTCAGAAATGTAACCAATAGACTTTCAAGGCATTTGCTACCAGTTGAAAAGCTGCATCTCATTCTCATCATATTAAAACAATTACATTTGCAATAACTCAGAACTTTAATTTTAAGGAAAGGTTAAACTCAGTTGAAGTAATAATTTTAAAAGACATGTAGTAGAAAGGTGAAGAATGGGAAAAAGGAAAAACAGCAAAGAACTGTAGTCTCCTTCATCCAACCTTTGGAGGACACCTTCCACAGTGACACGGTATTGTGTGCAGGGAAGATGGAAAATTTTGAGAATGAAAGGGATCAAAGGCAAACACTCTGGACATCATCATTGCAGCACAGGCCCAAAAAGGGGGTTGGAGGCTTGTTTTAGCTAAATACCATTTTGCCATTATCAAAACAGAAGGAAAACAAATCTATGTTAAATCATCCTACAAACACAGGACATCTTATCCACCCATAACAATTCAGGAGCTTGCACACACACCAACTGCTGGACTAAATGCTATTCTACAGAAGGAAAGGCAAAACACTGGAGTGGCCACTGCTCTATGATGGAGTTTTATAAAAATGAACCAGCTAATGGCATTTTTTTATTACTTTTGTCCCTTTATTATACTTTCCCTCTTTAAGGGTTCCATATAATAAGTTGTACTGGAACATATGTGCAAAAACCCACCACATGCCAAAAGCAAGCACTTTAACGTATTACATATGCTTCTTAGGAATTTAAGAATGAGGCTTGCTTCCATGCAAGTATAGATACAGAAATGGATATCAATCAAGGTTGCAAAATTACACACAAAGGGGGGCTTGCTTCAAGCTAAGGATGAATCAAAGCCAGGAAAACACTGCCAGTGATTGATGTACCAGCTATGCTTCACACTTACTGAAGGAGAAATGAAAGAAAACCGGTACAAGATACAATAGTTATTCCATGACTTGGGGGAGGAAAATTCAACTGAACCTGATATTTAGTAAATGGGCTTGGTATGTTAAGCAGGTTTTCCTAGATCTTTTGCAAGATTCTTTTTCCAAACCGGCCTGTGCGCTTCTCATTTGAAAAGTTAAAGCGTTGCCTTTAGTTCAGAAAAGTAGCGCCCCGCCCCACTTTTCTTCCAGCCTCTTCCCACCGAGCCGGTGCCCGGGCCGTCGCCTTTTTCCCCTTCTGCGGCTGCTGCGGAGTCCTCGCTGCCCGGAAGACTACACGCACGGGGGCCTCCCTTTCAAGCCCTCCCGTGGCCAACCGAGGGCCCAAGGGAGCGTCTCTGCCTTCAGACACCCCCACCCGGCTCGGCCCACTCCCAGCAGCTACTTACTCTGCGTATCCCGTGGTCCAGGGCAGCCGCTGGGTCTCCTTGTTGAGGATGAGGATGGGGCGGGCGATGTGATCGGCGGAGCACTCGACCTCGTCCTGAGAGAGCCCCAGGAAGTCGGGTCTGCCATAGGGAAAGCGAGCAGGCAAATCCAAGCCCCCGCCGGGCTCCGAGCCCGAACTGCCGGACATGATGCCTCCCACCAGATTGGCCACGGCAGACCTCATCCGCGTCAGCATATTAGTCCCGCCGCCCGCGGCACCCACGGGGCCAGGGGAAGCACCATCCAAAGCGGGCGGGCGCGCAAGGCGACAGCAAGGCAGGTTTCACGCTGGAGCAAAAACGCTTCCGCCGCGGAGGGGCTGCATGGAACGGACGGCGAGGAAGTCACCCGCGGGAGCCGCCGAGCCGAGGAGGAGGAGGAGGAGAGAGCACCCACCGTGGCGCGGGCATAGCAGCAGGAGCGGCGGCCACCCCGCTTGGCTCTTCCGCGGCGGGCGCCGATACCCGAAGTTGACCCGAGCGGAGCGGCTTGCGCGGCTCCACGTGCTGCGTCACGTGATGCCCGGGCTCGGTGGGCCACGCGAGCTTCCTGTTCTTCGGGCTGCGGCAGCGCGCTCGCTACCAGCGCAGCCCCGGAGATCTTGCGGCGGTGGTTGGCCTGGTTCTGGGGGCTGCCGGCGGAATAGGAAAGGCCGAGGGGGGCTGGGAGACAGAAGGCAAAACCAAAGAGAATTGGCTTAAGAGCAAAGGGCGACTCCATGTTAGTCTTCCCCGAGTAGAAAGTTGCCACGCATTTCTACCTTAGCCTAGAAGTAGGGCCGCTTCAATTGAATCGCTCCCTAGAGGTGAGTGAGGGTTGCAGCCTCAGGCTTCAATATTGTAAGGAGCAGGGCAATTTTCAAGTTGGAAGTATTTAAAAAAAAACTTTTGTAACCAGTCCTCTTTTTACTTTGTCGCCTGTCCCTTGGTGAATTCCGTATGAGTTTTTCGTTAATCGGGCTTTATTAATAAAGAGTTCAATGTTGCATTTTTTGCAGGTGGCTGGTTCTTCCGGGTTACACCTACTGGCATCTGATCCATTCAATACAAAGTGGTTCAAGGTGGGGGAGGGGATGCATACAGAACATCTAATCTGCTCCTCTCTCTTATATTGTGCTGTGCTTTTTATTGTATTTATTGACCTGTTGGCCTCTCAGGCAGCACATATGAATTCCAAGTTAGTTTGCATATAAAAGACAATACTGAGAGTCAGAATGAAGTGCTGCAGATGCATAAAGCATCCATCTTACTCATAAATGTCCCATCCCCAAGTTTGGGCCCACTCCTAGGGTGCCGTCTTTGACAGTCACACAGAACCAAGCACTTGTTAGTCTAATAAAAGATGTACCTGCCCAACAAATCAGTAAATCTTTTTTTTTATTAAAAGTTTTTTAATTTTTAATTTAAAACAAATACAACATCCTTCTTTACATGCTATAGAAAGTGTATCAGTTAGTTACAAATAGACTTTTGCTCATCTCTTCCAGTCAAGAAACATAGTTCATGTTAGCTCGAGCATTTTATATTCATACATATCACCATCATCATATATCCATTTTCATTTGACTATAATTATTATTTTTTAAAAAAAGATAATGGTAATAATAATTTTTGTTTCTTAAACAATACATGCCCACACCAGTGGGGAAAGAAAAAATTGAAGAAAAAGAAAAAAGACAAAAAGAACAAAAAAAAACAAAAAACAAAAAAAAACCAAAAAAAAAGATAACACAGGTATATATCAAAACAAAAAAAGTATATCAGCTGGTTACAACATGTTTTGGTGCATCTCTTCCATTAATTCATATTATAATTAATTCATATCNTTGTCTCTTTTCCTTCCTTCCTTCCTCCCTCCCTCCCTTCTTTCCTTCCTTCGTTGTCCCTTTTCCTTCCTTCCTCCCTCCCTCCCTCCCTGCCTTCCTGCCTGCCTGCCTGCCTTCCTTCCTTCCTTCCTTCCTTCCTTCCTTCCTTCCTTCCTTCCTCTTTTGTCCCTTTGCCTGTCTTCCTTCCTTCCTTCCTTGCTTCCTTCCTTCCTTCCTTGCTTCCTTCCTTCCTTCCTTCCTTGTCCCTTTTCCTTCCCTCCCTCCCTCCCTCCCTCCTTTCTTCCTTCCTCTTGTCCCTTTGCCTGCCTGCCTTCCTTCCTTCCTTCATTGTCCCTTTTCCTTCCTCCTTTCCTTCCATCTTTCCTTCCTTCCTTCCTTCCTTTTTTCTTCTCTGCCCACTCACTGTCCTTGACACCAGGTGGCTTACAAACAACCCTACATAAAATAATTTTTAAAACCCAGTTAATCCCTCCCCCAACCCCCAATCAAACAAGCCACTTGATGGGCTCCATCCTTGCTCTGGGTTCCCCAGGCCCATTGGCAGAACCAGCCCTCCTTCAAGGCTTTGCGAAAGAGACTCAAAAGCAGGGACCAAGCTAATCTTCACGGGGATGATTGTTTCAAAGTAAGGGAGCCACCACGGAGGAGGCCCTGCGAGCCCCACCAAACGGACCTCCCAACAGCATTTCCTTTCTTTGAAGGGCGAGAAGGGAACACAATTGTGGCTGCGGAGGAATGGGAGGTTAAATGGAAGGAGGTTGAGGGCCTTTGGCTTCCTTGCAGAACCCATAAACCCTTCCTGGGAGCCTGAAGGGGGTCTTGCTAACCGTGGTTTCCCTCTTCCAGGACCCCAACTGGTACAAAGCCAAAAACAAAGTCGGCCGGGAGGGGATCATCCCGGCCAACTACGTCCAGAAGCGCGAAGGGATGAAACCTGGAATCAAGCTCAGCCTCATGCCGTAAGCATACATCTGAACTGGCATTTTATAGCCCCCCGTGACGGCAAACCCATGGCCCTCGTGGCACATAGAGCACCCTCTCTGTGGGCATGTGCGCCATCGCCAGCTGCTCTTCTGCAGAGCACCGGAAAGTGGCCTGAAAATGGCTAAAAACTAGGTCCTTTTTCGTGCCATTTTTTTGTTTTCCCGATGTTTTCCAGTGCTCCAGCATCCGCGAAGACCGTTACAAAAACGGCCTGAGAAACATCCCCAAACCGGCCCCCCAAAGAAGCTGAAAAACTAGGCGTATGTGTGTGTGCCGGTTTTTGGGTTTTCGGTTGCTCCGGTGCGCAAACATGCACACGTGTTCCGATTTGGGCACTTGGAGCCGAAAAGGTTCACCGTCCCTCTTAAAGTCCCTAGTCCACATCTGTGAGATCAGTTGGAAATGAAATATACCGTATTTTTCGGCGTATAAGACGCACCTTTTTCCCCTTAAAAAAGAGGCTGAAAATCTGGGTGCGTCTTATACACCGAATACAGCAGTTTTTGCCTCCCGAAACACTACGCCTTCATCAAAATGGCCGCTGTGCATAGCCTTTAGGAGGCTTTCAGAGAAGGCAGAAATGAGTGAAAAACGGGCCGTTTTTTGCTCAATTTTGCTCCCCCAGTCCCCAGGAGCACTCTATAACCCTCCTAAAGGCTATCCATGCAATTGTTTTGACAAAAAGCAGGCCNCAATAAAAAAGTAAGGTAAAGATAAAGGTTCCCCTCGCACATACGTGCTAGTCGTTCCCAACTCTAAGGGGCGGTGCTCATCTCCGTTTCAAAGCTGAAGAGCCAGCGCTGTCTGAAGACGTCTCCGTGGTCACGTGGCTGGCATGACTAAACACCGAAAGTGCACAGAACGCTGTTACCTTCCCACCAAAGGTGGTTCCTATATTTCTACTTGCATTTTTACATGCTTTCAAACTGCTCAGTTGGCAGAAGCTGGGATAAGTAACCAGAGGTTGCTCCATTAGGCGGCGCTAGGAATTCAAACCGCTGAACTGCTGACCTTTCTGATCGACAAGCTCAGTGTCTTAGCCACTGAGCCACCGCGTCCCTGTGAAAAAAGTAACATGACCATTTTTCACACTTAGGGCCATTGCAGCATCCTCCATGGTCAGTTGATCAAAATTTAGACTGTTGGCAACTGTCTCACATTTATGACCGTTGCAGTGTCCCGGGATCATGTGATAACCTTTCGTGACCTTTGACAAGCAAAGTTGATGGATAAAACAGATTCACTAAACAACCATGTTGCTAACTTAACAACTGCAGTGATTCACTTAACAAACATGGCAAAAAAGTTTGTAAAATGGGGGCAAAACTCACTTAGCAAATGTTCGCTTAGCAACATAAATTTTGGACTCAATTGTTGTCATATGTCGAGGACTACCTGTACTGTGCCACAACTCAACCCACTTCTCAGAAGTAACAGTATTTTGTTTTAGTGTTCAGAACTAGCCACATACATTATCTTCTTAAAGATTTATAAACTAGGTTTTAAGTATATTAAAATTTGTCACAGAGTCAACAGGATGGTTAGAATGGATTTGGCATTTGGTCCACCTACCTAGTGTGCTGTACTTCCCAACCACCTGGGATAGGCAGATATTGTTTGATGGTGTTAAAGGTATCATTTTCGTGGTTGCGCAGAAGCTACACATCTAAATTTTGTAGGACGTTAGCACCTATCCGTCTCCTAGAACCATGATGGCGAACCTATGGCACACATGCCACAGGTGGCACGTGCAGCCATTTGTCAGGACATGAGAGGTGTTGTCCTGTCAGCTGGCCAGCATGCATTCATGCGCTGGTCAGCTGACTTTGGCCTTCTTTTGAGGCCGTTTTTCACCCTCTGTGTGGCATAAAGCAGCTAAATGCCCTTGTTATCCACATTGCCTGCAAATAGCCGTTTTGAAACGGGAGCTAAAGTGGAGATGTTAGCCTTCGCAGCTCAGGCAGCCGTCGCTAGGAATTTTGGCGGGCTCCGTCCTGAGGTGATATCTAGTGTTGACGCGGCCAATTTGCTCAATCTCATCAGACCACTCATGTTCCTGCCCTACTTGTTGGGTTATTGAGGTGTAGGTGAAATTCGGGCTAGCCCCGTTAATACGTGTTTGGATCTGGGCGGTTGACTTTTAAGCCATTTCTGTGGGTCGTGCCTCATCCACAGTGGCTTCAAGTGTAAAGTCTGGTTTAGTCAGAAGCCGGCACAGCAATCTGACATCCCTAACTCCGCAAAGCAATTGCCCTAAAAGGGCTTCGTCCAATTCCTTAAAATTGCAGTCAATAGCTTCCTGATGAAACGCATATATTGAAAAACTGACTCTCCTTCACGCTGAGTGCATTGTCTGAATGCTTGTAGCTATCTTAGATGGCGCGGAAGAGTAATGGTTCTTTAATTTAGTGAGTAGGACATCCCAAGGTACAGTGTTAATGGACATTGGAGCCGACAACACCCTTGCCATGCTGAACATTTCAGGTCCACACGGCTGAGGAAAAAAAACAGGTTTCCTCTCCTCTGTCACTTCAGTGAAATCATGGGAAATTTCCCTACTCCTCGTGACCAGTATTTTGTACTCAGAGTAAGAAAGAATGATTGAGGCGATCTCTGCAGTTAACACTTGGTTTTTAATCATCAGCAACTAATACAGAACAGAACAAGCAACTCCGGTTTGACAGCTATTTATAGGGCAGCTGTCAAACTGTCAACCAATTAGAATGAAGCTAACTCCCCCTGCTTGTCTTAGCCAATCCTGGCAACTGCTGGTGTTGATGGACATCCCGCGGTTGCCATGGTGCAGACACAACAGGCAGAGTATTATTATTTTCCCCTAAAAGAGAAGCATGTTTCTAAAGACATAAACTCAGAGCTTCAGCTCCCTGCCCTCCAGCAGATATTTTTGTGCCAACCTATCTACAAAACTAGGCCATCTTATCTACAAAACAAAAGACCTTCATCCTCAGGACATAATAAGATTAGCCTTCTACTCATCTCATCACATGGCACCTGGGAGGTTGTATCATGGTCCAACCAAGCCTGGGACTCGAGACAGCCTACAAAGTTACCCCTGCATAGCCTCCTGGGAGTCTGACAACCAATCAGAATACATGCCCTTGGCACAGGAACAGGAAGTTCAAATTCAAAGCCCAAGATAGGGTATAAATCAATCTCTCTCTCTCTCTCCGTCTCTCTCTCTCTCTTTCCCCCATGTGCTCATTTGCCCAGGACCCCCCCCCCAAAAAAAAACCTACAAGCATTAAACCCTCTTTCCAAACAGCCTCCACGTTTCCAGTGTCTTTCTCCTCACTTGGAACTGAACCCAGATGGACATTTCTATCAACCATTTGGCACTCCAGATTGGACTCCAAGCTAACTGGACCAATGGATCTGGCCCAAGTAAGCCTCCCTTGCTGGCAGCAGACCCATTGAGTCTGTGAGTGAGCTTTCCTGGACCTTGGTCATTTGGAACAAAGGTTTTAAAGGGGTTTTGAGGGTTGAGATTAAAGGCTTCTTGGAAAGAAGGATGCTTGCAAAGGGCGCACTCAGCGAACCAGTTGATAGACCGGTTGAGTCACATCACTGCTATCCACCCACCCCACTCTACCTCCCCATCTCTTATCCTTCAACAATGCCTTTCCTGGAAAGATTCCCCACAAATGGGGGCGGTGGGCTTGTTCACATGTCTTTCTGCCCTGCACAGAT